CCCCAAAACCCCAAAACCCCAAAACCCCGATAGATTATATGAAAATTTATCTGCAATGGATTTAATTTATTATGAACTTAAGTAATGTTTTAATTTTATATATTAAGGTACTTTGAGTTATAGGTTAAATCTCAATCATTAAGCAATCACTGACAAAACCACTTATGGCTTTTGATTTAATTTATAGACAATCTTTTCTAAGGATCTTTTTCAAGGATCAAACTTATTAAGTCCTTTGCGCTATCGCTAATCTACTACTTTATATCAATTGGATATTAAACTTCGCTATTTAGAATGGTTTTGGTAATCAAATGCGTGGTAGCCTCATAAAAAGGATACTTTCCCGTTAAAATTTGGTATAGGATAACGCCGCATGCCCAGATATCAGCTTTGAAGCCGTCATAACTCTTCCTTTCACCATCGAGCTATTCAGGACTGTTAAAAAGTAAAGTTCCACCAAGTCCTGAAACCTTTGGATTATCAATCGGCAAATCTGTCACACATGTTCCAAAATCAAATATTTTTACAACGTCATTTTCACATAATCCTATGTTATGAGGTTTTAGATCTCTATGGCATATTCCATTCGTTTGTAGGTATTCAAGACCTTCAATGATTTATTTAAATATCTGTCTTGCTTTCTCCTCTTCAATGTACGTTTTCTTTTCTAATATACTCTAAAGACAATCCTAGTCACAATATTCGAGAACTATATACTGCTTATCTTCTATTAATTATGTTTCAATGAGCTTTATAATGTTTTAATGGTTTAATTTCTTTAACACTCTGATCTCATTAGTGATGTCAGATGTTGAATTCCTCATTAGCGGAGAAACTTAATCTCTCCTCTTGAGCTTACGAATGTTTAAAATTTTAATGGCTACAACATTTTCAGAGTCTTCAATACTTTGGCATAGTTTCACTTTGGAGAATTTTCCTTCGCCGAGATTTTTAATCTGTCTGTAATTGAGAATCTTTTTTCCTTTCGATGATCTTGAATATGAACTTCTTGAAATGTTTGATTTGAATTGATGAGAACTGATAGATGAGTTATGCACAAGATCTATCCTGGAAACCTTTCCTCTAGACTAAGAATTAGATTTTTAAATGCTTGATGGAATCGATTCTGTGTCTGATGATTACTTTTCATCATCTTTGATGTTATCTATTTACTTTCTGAGTTATTTTGCACTACTAGTTGGAGAGTACTAGATCTAATGAGGTATTTAGGAAAATCCTACTGTTCTACGACGCTTTTACTGCAATGTTACTCCAAGCAAGTTGCTATTTTTCTGTTCTATGAGATTTTATCTAGGCAACAGATCGTATTGGATAGAAACTCGTTGTCTCATATTTACAGGCAATATCCTCAATTATTTGTTTTAAAGAGGAATTCTTTTCTCCTTTTTTGCTGTACTACTATTTTCCTACTCTTTTTCATTAATAGAATCAATTTCAGAGAAAGTAGAACTAATCTCGCTAACTATTTCGAGCTCCTAAGTGTTCTGGAGCTACTATAACTATGAAAATAAATCTGATTTGTCTTTCTTTAAGATTGGCGAAATGGTATTAATATCGTTCAAATTATGAGCAGATGGTTGGAAAAAGTCTACATTTGATCTGCTTTACTCAAGTTTAATGACCTCAATCTAAAGACTATTTCTCTTCTTCGCAACAAGGTCTGATTTCTTAATGTCTTAAATGATCATCGTCTATCTCTTGATAAATTTTTGAATATTCTTTCTCTTAGACTCCTCAACAATGCCTGGCAACTCTTCCTAGCTCCTAATTTACCTAGAGATAACCCTAACCTATCGAATCAGATTCCTATCCTAGGATGGCTTCTGATTATGGCCGAATTGCCGCTCATCTAAATTTTGCTTGGATTATTAGCTAGAGCTATCTACAATGATCATTGAATTCCTCTTTATCTATTGGATTGAATTTATAGGAGGTAGTGCCCTCTCCTATGTTATAGATTATTTCAGTGGGAATTTCGATTAAATCGTATTATCTTATTTTAATGTCTAATATTTGACTGCTTTCAAAGATCTAATTGGGATGGCTGAGCTATTTGAAAAATTAATCAAGTTACTCTGTAGACTTTTTATAATTGGGAATTTAACACCTTAAGGGGAAAGTGATGGACTTTTTGATTATGAATTTTCATCGCTTGATGATGAAGATAAACTTTCCTCATACTCCATGTTTTTTATTCTATCATCTATCTCCTTATTAATATTTAAACCTTCTTTCTTTATGATGCTAAGTTTCGGCATATTTCTACCATAAAATGCTTCGGTGGCCCTTTTCATATTGATTTTGCTTTCTAATGGCTCTACCTATTTGAATGGACTTTTCATAGGTTATGTTTTCTACTTTTAAAGAGCTTGCAATTTCTAATCAGATAGAGGATGATTTTTAATTGGACTTAAAACATTTAAACCTTTGAGGATTTTGAGTCTAGGGAGATCTATGTTTTTGTCATTATCTGGCTCATCTTAGGTCTCAAATTGCGTTCCTATAATTGGCTGCGTTTGAATTGATGTTCCTTCCAAAAAATTAGTGGAAGACTTAAGCTCTTTTATGGATTCAGACAGATGAAAGTTTCTTCTAGTTTACAAAAATTCAAGTTACTTTGAGTCAATCAATTAATTCTCAGTTTAAGTCGAGAAATCTCTAGTTTTAAATTTCTCTGGAGCCACACTTCTATTGGAAATGTTGAATTTTATATCAAAAATACTTTTATTTCTTGCCTTAACATAGTAGATGCTTTTGTTTAGTAGAGCATGTTCCCATTTGGTCTTTCAATAAAATGTTAAAAATAATGATATATATGTTTCTACCGGATTAATTACTATATTCATGTCATCCTAAAATCTTCATATAATTTATGCATGGGGTTTTGGGGTTTTGGGGTTTTGGGG